GTAAGGATATAGAATTATGTTGGGTAAAACTTTATCGTATGTTACAAATATGCAATTTTGATATAGATGAAAAAATAGAATGGAATAAAATTGTCCAAGGATGCTATGCTGAACACTGTAATAATTATTGAAATTTACTAGGCTCTTTTATCTTGTATATTAATAATAATAGTAATTTTCTCACAGATTCAGCAAATCTGGAGCAAAGCATCATGGTAGAAGTTACACAGCGAGCTACAACTGATGGTAGGTCAGTTATATTAAAGATTGAGGATATTACATATAGGCCTAAGTCTGTACAAAGAATGTTTGAAGAATTAAGTTTTCAAAAATGTGTTCCAGATTAAAATACGTCATAAAAATAATTTATGTATGTATAGCAATAAATGTTGGCATACAGACTGTTTCGAAATCGCAATATTTTATTTGACTATATAATTGAATTATGTTGTGTTCGAAGATCTAGTATCATGTTTTTTAATCGTAGCATTTGATTAATTCATCTGAACTGTTTGATATTATTGATATGTATTGTATGATAATTACAACTAGGCCACTGAGAGGAGGTGGGGGCGAGAGAGAGCATTGTTAATATTATTTATTATATACATATACATATATGTAAATATGAATAAATTAACATTATAAATAATTGTTATGATTCTTAGTTTTAAAATTGTGTATATTTAAAATCTAATACTGTAATAATTGTTTCAATTTACTAGGCTCTTATCTTGTATATTAACAATAATATTAATTTCATCAAATATTTAGCAAATATGGAACGAAGCACTACAGAAGTTACACAGCGAGCTACAACTGACGGTTAGTCAAAAATATTGCAAATTGAAGCTATTACATATATACATGTACAAAGAAAATATTTAGAAAATAACAATCTAAAAAAATTATAAAAAAACACTGTAATAATTGTTGAAATTTACTAGGCTCTTTTATCTTGTATATTAATAATAATAGTAATTTTCTCACCGATTCAGCAAATCTGGAGCAAAGCACGGTAGAAGTTACACAGCGAGCTACAACTGATGGTAGGTCAGTTATATTAAAGATTGAGGATATTACATATAATAGGCCTAACTCTGTACAGAGAATGTTTGAAGAATATTAAGTTTTCAAAAATGTGTTCCAGATTAAAATACTTCATAAAAATAATTTATGTATGTATAGCAATAAATGTTGGCATACAGACTGTTTCGAACTCGCAATATTTTATTTGACCATATAATTGATTTATGTTGTGTTCGAAGATCTAGTATCATGTTTTTTTAATCGTAGCATTTGATTAATTCATCTGAACTATTTGATATTATTGATATGTATTGTATGATAATAC